AAAAAACTACGCAATGTATTGTAAAAGAACTTGTTGTTGGGCTAATTGATGCAACATTTAAAAAAATATTTCGAGCGCAAACACACGACACAATCACTTATACACACACACCCAGGCATCAAACACGCACAGTGCTCACTTCCAACTGATTTATTCATAGCTTGAAGGCTTCAATATATACATGGGACACATGTGCACACTAACACCATAGAAGGCCAACAGCGTACATTACATACAGTTCGTCAATTTCAGAGCCTAAAACCAATAAAGTGGGATTCATTTGGTAACAACGATAGTGAAGGGACGCTTAAACAGTGATCTTCATTTTTTTCAATGAAAAAGGCCTCTAACACTTCACGTGCAGTTTTACTTGTGCTTCTGCCTAGAATCTTTGTCTCGGAGAATCGTGCGTCACAACCACACAAGATGACGTGCGCGACCAGGTGGCCATACTTGTCATCCCGTTTTGTTAATTTTTGGGCGTGTTCCCTCAACCGGTCATTAATGCATCGTTTGGTTTGGTCAATGATCGCATTTCCACAGGATAAGGGTATTTAATACACAACCCCCATAGAACATTTCACAAAAGCCAACCATGGAACACAAAGACCCCGGTGGAACATTTCACAAAGGTTTGCCATTTCGCCTCACATTTCTGCCGATGAACTTAACGGACTAAACAGGGACTTGTCTGCAAAGGACAATCAAGGTCGGGACAGATGCCTACAAGATGGTATGGACTGTTTATCAAAGTGTGCAACGCAGGATCTAGATAGACCTACTGTTAAAGGCTTAAATAATGTTGTTTCGTTTTTAAGGACAACAATTTACATTAATGCTAGCTAACAAAGAAAGTTGCTTGTGGTCATACCTGAGGGAAAATACAACGAGAAGGCTTTAGCGGCTATCACGAAGAACTTTCGCCCAGCTAAGAAGGGAGCGACTTGCGTTAAATCTAAGTTCGCTGGTTTTTTGCAAGAATGTGGGGCTTACAGTGTTAGCCAAGGACATAGAGAACAGCAAAGCGAGCAACCTTAAAGTTTTTTTCTCGGCCAAGACACACAAACCAGACGTACCTTTTCACACTATTGTTAGTGAAGGAGGATCATGGCAAATGAACGTTAGCAGATTTCTTCAGAGCAAGCTAAAGAATCTAAATGAACCTTTCTGCAGGAAGGGCTCAAGTGATGTGTGCAACTTTTTGCGGTCTCGTGATATTACAGGCAACGCCTTTCCAGTGGATGCCGCAGATCTTTATTATTCTGTGCCGCATGACAAGCTTCTAGCCTCTGTAATATCCTGCATTGAAGAGAATGGCGACATTGCTTTTATCAATGATGCAGACGTTAATACTGACAATTTTTTATCGCTTTTTGAATTTTATCTCAATGTAACCTTTATAATGTTTGACGAAAAGCCCTTTCTTCAGCGGCAGGGAATCTGCATTGGTTCCTGTGTCGTGCCGGCTCTTTGAGATATATTTTCAGCGGTTGTATATGGAGACTTGGATAATGCTTTTAAAGGGGGGGAGGTTTTAAAGGTTTTTAGATACGTTGATGACTTTTTAATAGTTTTAAATAAGCAAGGAGACCTTAGATCCCCTGATTTTATTTTAAATGTTTTTATAAGGCTAGGACGAGGGCTTTCCTTCACTGTTGAATTGCCACAAGAAGCTTTTGAGCAGTGTTTAGACTTGTGCCTCATGTGGAACGATGAGCACGTTTGCTGGTCTAATCATCCTCGTGTTGAGGAGTTGTTGCTGTACGATTCTGCCCACTCAAAGATTGTCCAGAGGGGCGTTGCGTCTCTTTGCTTGGAGTCAGCGTTGAGGAGGTCGTACCCACACAGAATGAAATTTAGTTTCTTTAATCAGGTGAGCCGATTAGAGGCTTCTGGGTTCCCTCGATCCGTCATTACGGCCGTTGCTAAATCACTTCTGCAGAAGTTCAAACGTGGAACACGGGAAGCGATGACTGCTACCCATCCCTTGAGGATTAGGCCACAAGTTTTGCCATATATCTACAAGTTCTCGCACAACACCAACAAGGTCGCGGCCAGGCACAGCGTACTGATGGTGTTTTCCGCACCCGAAAAAATCAGAAGACTGTGCCAACGTGTGTGCAAAAGCAAAAAGCGCGGCTGCGAGAAGAAGCATGACAGGGCCTTTGTGAAATGCTCCACAGGTGTCGTGGTACTCCAAACCCTTATCCTGCGGAAAATTGAACATTGGCCAAACCGAACGAGGTATTAATAACCGGTTAAGGAAACACGCTCAAAAATTAACAAAACGAGATGGCAAGTATGAGCGCCTGGTTGCGCATATAATCTCGTGTGGTTGTGATGCACGATTCTTTGAGACGAAGATTCTAGGCAGAAGCGCAAGTAAAATTGCACGTGAAGTGTTAGAGGCCTTTTTCATTGAAAAAAAATAAAGATCACTGTGTAAGCACCCCTTTGCTGTCATTGTTACCAAGCGAATCCACTTTATCCATTTTAGGCTCTGAAATTAATAAACTGTATGTATTGATAAAGTATGCCGTTGGCCGTCTATGGTGTTAGTGCGCACATGTGTCCGATGTATATATTCAAGCCTTCTAGCTATAAATAAATCAGTTGGAAAGGAGCGCTGTGCGTGTTTGATGCCTGGGTGCGTGTGTGTGTATGTGAGTGAGTTATGGTGTCGTGTGTTTGCGCTCAAATTATTTTTTTGAAGTAACTACGCAAGCTCCGCACTACATAGAACGGGCCCAGTCGCAGATGCTACATAAAAAAAAATACACAAATTTAATAGCGTAAAGAAAGTGATACCCAGTTGTTGTTTTGGCTACGAGCGCCGTTACTGCATCAGAAAAAGCGACGTGACGTGACGTGCAGACACACTGCAGCAGGCGTCTCTTCGCTAGAAGGCGCATTGATGCCTCCAGCCACGCCATCCCATGGTTCACAATATGATGCACATGAAAAAAATAGATGGCCACATGGCTTTCTATTCTGTGCTGATTAAAAACCTTTTATTTTTGTCTTAACCTTTTGTTCCGTCATATACTTTAATTGTTGGTTGGTTAAATGCCGGTGTTTTCCCGACACTGTGTCTTCTTATATTCATACTGTTTTCACAGCTGGCATTTTGTCAACCTTTTCGTTGTTCACAGAAGTTTTGGCTTGTTCACATACACCTGTGTTAGCTACATCTTCTGTAGACGGCGGTTTACGGATAACGTGCCATCTTAAGGGGCTTTCCCCTAAAATTTTTCGACAGACCAGAAGCACAGCTACGACTCTTGTGGAAGAACTTGAGAGGCCCACAGGCATTGTGTCGAACATCATGATAACAGGTGGTCTGTGGTGATCAGGCTTTGAAGATCGAGAAATTGCCTCAACAGCATCAATAACAGGAGTTCCAATAATAAGTGTCACCACCATGGGGTATTCCATACAAACATTATAACTGGCATAAACATAGCAAGTGAACTCAAAGCCTTCAGTAAAAAGGTGCATTAACTCTCACTAAGGCACACACACAGAGCACTTTATGGATGGCACCACTGATACCACAAGAAGGATGGGTGCACCAGCTTTCAATAAAGAATTAACAAGGGTCGCCTTCACTGCAGTGCATTCTTGGTGACTGCCTGTTATGAACCGTGCTGAAATTCGCTGATACAAACAAAGTTTTGGTGCCTAGTTGGGACCAGTTGGCACATGAACTTGTCGAGGCTTTCTTCATCCCGGAGATGTTTGTGTGACACGTCAGAATGACAATGAAGGCAGGTTACTACTCAAATGCACGTAGACGAAATTGCTGTTTGTGTAGTACGTACGCAGAACTTAGTTTCATGAACAACAGACAAAGACAATGACTGAAGGTCAAGGTGCAACACTTCCTACAAAAAGTAAAACTCGAGCAGACTAAGGAGACACATAAAACACAGACGATGTGCTTTTGAATGAGGTGTTACAAAAGGGTCCCGAAGTGAACTGCAGTACCATCAGATAAGGAAGGGTTTGTCACAATTCTGTCACAAGGCATGTTTTGAAAGGAAGAAAACTGAGAACTGCCAGAACAAAAACCAATCAGTTCAACTGCTCAACAGCTTGAATTCAGAAATCACATAGTTGTGATAACAAGGCAATTTGATGTGGTTGCGGCCGACTTTTCTCCTTCTTCTTATGCACAAAGACATCAACCGATAGTGGGAAGTCTGCTTAAAAGGAGAACGAAGCCCTCAAAATGCCTAAATCAATTCTTGGCGAATTTCACCAGTTGTTGTGAGCTTTTTGTGCCATTACCACGGGAAGAATGCAACGTGATATGATGATGATGACAGGAGATCACTTGAGCATCAAAGATCCCCTGGGAACAGTTTTGGTGCAATACTAATAGAGCAGGATGGCACAGCTGAACTGGAGTGGCCAAGCTTGGTGTAAATCAAGGAGCATTGTCAGCGAAGTTGCCCAAACAATCAGTACTACGACACTTCTAGCTTGGGAGAGTTTTACTTATACGAGGGTTTAATGCACACACCGCACTTTGAAAGCCGAGTGCAAAGTTCTCTAAAAAATACTCCTTCCCTATGGCATTTATTGTGTAGATAACTTGAGCGATCAACACAGCAACCACCACGACAAAGTACGAAGTGGGTGTTTGTATCGGGCAGGCATATTGCCACACGTGCTTATTTATCCACTTTAATGTGATTCACCAACACCCACCTGTGAGTAGCACCTATTGAAGGCTGCATCACAGTGTTACCAGACTTGCAGACTGTTTCAGATCGTTCTGCTAAGATTACACACAAGACACGAGAAGCCAATTTCATTCTGGAGCTAGCACAAGTGCCAGTTACAATGCTGCAAGACACCATGAGGCATCAATAAGAGCATGTGACTATAGGTAATACGTTGCTGGCGACACAGAAAGTCTTTTGATGCAGACGTGTGCATGCAGTGATGGCTTTGTTCTTGCACTTCATGTACTGTTTAGGTTTCTTTGTAAGTTCTGTGCGTATGTGTACGGTCAAAGTAAAACAGAACAGATGAAGGACAGTGCTAACCCTCGAGTCATACCAGCTTGCACTACGTCACACATTCACTGGTAATGAAATTGACCCAGGTCAACAAACATGCTTAGCTGGGAAAACACAATGAAGTGAAAAAGGATACAGGAATACTGGACTGTGTTCCTGCGTCCTTGTCTTTTCTCGCGTTGTGTTTCCCCTCTTAAGCATTGAACAACTGTCCTAAATGAAGGTCTTGTCCGACAAACATTCTACAACTAGAGGTCTTTTATACGTTTTTAATGATCCTGAAGACGTAAGAGATGAGGTGCAACTTGTAATAAATAGCATTTATAAGTTGGCTAAGCTGTGGCTGTCCTCTCAGCAACACGCAGCTTGGCCGAACGGCTTCGTGGGTTGTGCTCCGTCTCGATTCGGGACGGCAGCTGGAGCGGGCCCAGAGGCTGCCAATGGTGCTGCCGCTCAGACACCATTTCCTCTGCACTGTGCCACACAGCTGCATTACGAAGGCGCTGGGCAATGTTCACCGGCTCACTCATGTCCACACCCTGCACACACAATGCGATGTCAGTTGGCCTTGCAAGGTTGAACATCAATGAACGTTCTGTTCGGCCTAGTTGGTATGTGGCATTTATGGTGAAAACTCAACTATGAACCAAAACAGATTGCAAATAATAGAAAAGACAAGAACTGGCTCTAAGAACTTCTTAATTCTTCTCATAACAAGGCATATAAAAGGGCTGTGTGTGTGTCTCTCCCTTTGTGTGCTTGTCGTGGTGCGATATACCCATATAAATGATAAACCCCAACCAACTAGCCCGGCAATGTGCCTTAGCCACAGTCAACTTTCATGCGCAAACACTTAACACTTTGTATAAGACATATGTCTATATTGTTACTGGGAAGAAAGTATATGCGCAGGATATATTTGTGAACAAATGCGTACAATGCCAATGCAGTCGAGGCACGTTTCACTCAGCCCTTCGTCATAATCATTCGAAGCTATCTTCTCAGCCCGTGACACTACCCGCCTGCGGCAGAAGCACCGTCCTGGCACGATCAATCCTCTGCGCATGAGTAATATGGTTTAAGTCTTAAAACATGAACAGTTTGGTCGGGACTGAAGCTGCTGCTGATATAGGATGGAGTGAAGCAATCATTTAGGTCACACTGGTGACTGTGCATATGACGCGGTAAGGGCCAACATATTGGGACATCAGTTTTTCGCAGAGACCAATACGTCGTGATGATAACCACATCAAGACCAGCGACCCAAAGAAGTACTGCATGCCGCGGTGCCGGCGATCGAAAACATTCTTTTGGTTAACCTGTGAGGCACATAAACGATCCAGGACAACTTGGTGGGCAAGGTCAGCATGGGCTAGGGCATCACAAGCATACGCAGTCAATGAGGCGTCGTCAGAATGGAGCATGGTGTCCATGCCATGGGTAAATGCTGATCATAACCAAACAGTAGGTAAAAAAGTGAAAATCCAGTTCTGTCATGACGCAAAAGTTGTATACGAAGGCAACAAAAGGGAAGTGGATGTCTCAATCTCTTATGATTCTCAGAGATATACATCACTAACATGTTTGTCAGAGTACGGTTGAGACATTCGGTGAGGCCCCTGGTTCGTGGGTGGTACGTTGTAGCGAACTTGTGGTGGGTAGAGCAGGATCGCAGGAGGTCGTCATCTATTTTAGACGGAAAATAGCGGCCGCAGCCAGTGATTAACTGACGAGGAGCACCATGATGCAGAATGATGTCATAAAAAATGAAATCGGCTACATAAGTAGCGCAGCTGGTGGGGAGTGCTCGCGTAACAGCATACCGCATGGCGTAGTCGGTAGCAACGACAATCTCCCTAGTACCCGTGGCCGACATGGAAAAAGGTTCTAAAAGGTCGAGGCCAACTCGGAAAAATGGCCCGTCTGGTATTTAAATAAGGTGAAGAGTACCAGCAGACCCAGCGCAAGTATCTTGCGGCGCTGGCAGAGGTGGGGCACAAAACGGTAGAGGCCAAGCCAAAAGAAGCATTGGTGAATTTGGTTATAGGTGCGCGAGACTCCTAGATGCCCGGTGGTAGGTGTATCACGAAGCTGGGTCAAAATGTCTGAGTGGAGATGCGCAGGAACAACAAGCAAAAGCTCAGCACCATCAGGGTGGGCGTTGTAGCGATGCAAGATGTTGTTTTGAAGGGGGAACATCTGTGAGGAGCAGTCAGTGTGTGGAGATTGCAGACCATCGATAATAGGGTGCAAAGAGGAGCCACGGCGTTGTTCATCAGCTATGTTGGTGAATGCTGCAACTGAGAGAACAAAGGCTTCATGTCCATCTTCCATCGTTTGAGGGGGATCGACTGGGTGACGGGACAGGCAGTCGGCATCCTTGTGAAGTTGTCCTGATTTATAAGATACGGAAAAAGTGTAATCTAAGTGCAGCAGCCAGCAACCATGGCGTCCTGTAGGGTCTTTGAGCGAGGAGAGACAGTAAAGCGCGTGATGGCCCATAATAATTGAGAAGTGCCTGCCATACAGGAATGGTTGGGATTTCACAATGGCCCTGATGAGAGCTAAGCACTCACGTTCTGTGACGAAATAATGATTGCTATGATTGTTATGATTGCTTTTTTTAGCCATTGTTTAACCTTCAAATGTTTATGTTTTTACTTACCCTTTTCGTGTATTTCTATTATGTTGTTTAGTGTTTTGTATATTATTTGCCCAATCAATGTTACCTCCCTCCCCCTATGTAATGCCTTCGGGTCCTTTAAGGTATCGTAATAAAAAATTTAAAAAAATTTCGTTTGGAGCGCGACAACAGGTGGCTTGCATCCGCAACGATGCGATGCATTCCTTGTTGCTGTTGCGCAAGCACTGCGCCTATGCCATGGCCACTGGCATTGGTACAAAGCTTCGTGGTGGCAGATGGGTCGAAGGATGCCAGGACTGGTGGATGGGTGAAAATGTCAACAAGTGATGAGAAGGCATTTGGTTGTTGTTGGCCCCAAGTAAATGCGATATTCTTTTTGAGTAGGCAGGTTAAAGGACAGGCTATTTCAGTGAAATTCTCGACAAAACGACGGAAGTAGGAGCACAGTCCCAGAAAATATCACACGTCCTTGGCTGAGTGAGGTGTGGGGGAGTTGCGAATTGCTCGGACTTCCGCAGGGTTTGGTTGTACGCCCGCACTGTCAATGAGATGGCTGAGTATGCAGATTTGGTGTTGCACAAAGTGACATTTGGACGAGTTAAGTTGAAGGTTGGCACGTCAGAAAACATTAAGCACTATGGAGAGACAGGCAAGATGGTTTTCAAAAGTAGTCGAAAATCGAAAAAACAACAACATCGTCAAGATAGCAGAAGCAGATGGAACACTTCATCCCTCGAAGCAGAGAGTCCATCATGCTCTCAAAAGTTCAGGCAGCATTACATAACCTAAAAGGCATCACTTTGAGTTGATAAAGTCCATCAGGAGTTGATTGATTGATTGATATGTGGGGTTTAACGTCCCAAAACCCACTATATGATTATGAGAGACGCCGTAGTGGAGGGCCCTGGAAATTTAGACCACCTGGGGTTCTTTAACGTGCACCCAAATCTGAGCACACGGGCCTACAACATTTCCGCCTCCATCGGAAATGCAGCCGCCGCAGCCGGGATTTGAACCCGCGCCCTGCGGGTCAGCAGCCGAGTACCTTAGCCACTAGACCACCACGGCGGGGCAAAGTCCATCAGAAGTCGCGAAGGCCATCTTCTCTCTGTCTTGGTCGTCCACAGCGATCTGCCAATTGCCTGAGCAGAGGTCTATTGAAGAGAAATATTTGGTGCAGTACCAGCAGAGTGCATCATCTATGTCCGGTAGAAGATACACATCTTTCTTGGTAATATGGTTGAGAGGGTGACACAGAATCTCTAGCTATTGTCTTTTTTGACAAGTGCAATAGGGGAGGACCAGGGACTAGACGAGGGTTAGATTATGCGCTTATCAAGCAGTCCACTTCCCACTGTATATAAGCATGTTCCAGGGTCGTCTGTGAATGGGTCGAGTGCCTCCAGTATCGATGCGATGGGTTACCAAGGATGTTTGGTCCAAATTACTGTCGCCAAAATCAAAGATGTCAAGATAAAAAGCGAGGATGGGGCGAAGAGCAGAGCCTTGTTCAGCAGAGAGCTCATCGAATATCATTGGCGTGAAATAGTCGGAACAAAAACGAGTGGAGGTGCCGACACCCTCTGTAGAGTTGTTTGCGCCGCGTTGCGCACGTGTCTCGCGCAGAAGACTTCTTTCGAGGTCACAACTATTGAGCGGAATGTGGCGTTGTGTTCGCGAGCGTTAATCACCACTATCATCATCAACATGGTAAAGCACAGGCGGCGACAAGCCTTGGTGGCAGCGAGCGAAAATTAAGCTGGTCTCTTTTCTTGTGCGCGACATTTGGGGCGGACGGTTGTCTCTCACCGTGTGTCCCTGGTGTACGGCACTGCGGGCCATCTGCCGGGGCCCTCGTGGTGAGTCAAGCGTTCGCTGCCTTGTGTGTGTGTTATGTTGTTGAGTGTATGGTAATATTGTGTAAGGTTGTTTTAGCATGCTGATCGAAATTGATGTAATAATAATTTGGCTTATGATGTTGTTATAAAAGCAGTTAAATAAATAAATGTGTGTTTAGTTTGTTATGACTGCGTGTCTACTGTGTCCGTTCACTGCAAGAACATGGAGTTTTTTCACAACCAGATTCCACACTGGCGCCCAACGTGGGGCTCTCTGAGAGTATCGGATGAAAGTTTTCGCGGTTTGGTACAAGATTTTGTTAGAGCCGGAGCAGAGTAGACCTAGGGAGACTTTTTTGCCAGCGTTAGCGGTGTGCTTTGTTGAAAGCAAGAAGATCTGTTTTTGTGACGTGTTCGAACTTGTCAGTACGTTGAGTTTTATTTTTTTCTGCTCCCAAGTGTTTTTTTTATTTCGTGCTTGGTTTTCGAGAACATTGTTGAATTGGAACGAGAGCCATGCGGTCTGCATCCTGGGGTGAGCAAAGCTTTGAGCAGGTGGATTGTAGGCCAAGCCCGAAGCAAGTGAGTACGGAAGCCTCGTGGGTGGTCCAATTTTCTGTGAATAACTGCTTCTTTATCTTTGGGCGCAGGGAGCCGGGCGTCATTGCTGTCTGGTATTGCTGCTCGACGCCGCAGCACCGTCAGAGACAGTGGACGCTGATCGCTCGGTCAGCTGCTGTGTGCGGCAAGCGATAGGGCCACCTTAGAGAGAGGATGTCTTCTTGCAGCTGCCTCTTCTACGCCTAGGCTGCTGGGTGGATGCCGGTTGTTCTCAAGCAACTCATTAGGCCTAAGGCTCTGCGCAGCCGCCTGTCGCATGTGACACAACTAGGAATATTGTGGCATTGAGGTGTTGCACTCTGCTTCCCTCACTTTTTTATCTTGCGATGCACCAGTTAGAAAAAGGGACATTTATTTTAATTGTGATCTGGGCGTCTCGGCTGCTGCCGATGTATTAGCTAGCACTACTGACCATCGTACCACGTGGGCGAGAAGC